TAAAGAAAGCATGAAAAAGGCTTGATAAGAGAGGTTGGAGCATAGATGAACCTGCTCCAGACTGTGACCTTAGGTGGAACTGTGGATCAAAGGGGTTTAGAAGACTGATAAAGAGTGAGATGAATTAGACATGACTGTGTCAGCATTAGGATGGTAGTGCTCATAAAACTTATCAGCATTGTATCAGCTTTCTTCAGGATACTCTTTGAAAGATATTTAGAGCATAGAAGTAAAGCATGGAGGACTAATATAGTGGAAGTGTAAAGTGAAGAATGTCCCACTTCCTAACTTTGTACCTATAATTTTCCACTCTGCCTTTCTTGGAGAATTTGTTTTTACAATATTATTGCATTTTTATCAGAGATTATTCAGTTAAGATTTCCTGATTTTCACTGGACAGAGTTAATAGCTTTTGTCCTAGGTTTGTGATTCCATTGTCTTAAGTGGTCTGATTTCATCATACTGTTAGCTTAGCTTTTGCAGATCCTGGTTTCATTGCTTATATATCCAGATGTAAGTGGGGAAGAACCAGGCCTATGATCAAAAGCACTATAAGGGAAGAATTATTAGAGTTATTTTTTGTTAAAGGCAGATGTCCTCAAACATTTTACTTTCAGGCAAACATGTTCTTTTTTTCTGAAAAAGGTTATGAAATTTCAAGTAAAAACAAGCTAAAAGCAATTCCACTTGTTTTGTTCTAATTAGTTAAATAGTTTAATAGTTTTGTTCTAATTAGTTAAGTAGTTTAAGAAGAATTGGGCAGGTAGAGCATATGGTGCAGAAACAGTTATCTGCAGGTTTAATGAGAAAGGAAAATAGTAAAGTGGGAAAAAGGAGATTGCAATGTACCATAAAGACCTTGTTTCTGCTGAGCTCGGGATCATTGATGTGTACTAGGTAAATGAATTCCCATGCTCATCTTGCACACGTCTGTTGTGTCTGCGGAGAGGATGCAGTGACAAGTGCTGGTACAGGACCAGTGGTGAAAATACCATCCAGGCAGGGAGAGTGTTGGGGACAGCCACTGGTGGTGGCACTGCAGCCTTGCAGTATTGTACACAGTTCTGTCTACTGCAGCTTGAGCTGGAAGAGTGCAGCCTAGGGATGTGACTCTCAACATGAGAGAAAGAAAATTTGCTTAAAATACAGAAACATAGCTTTTAATCTGCTAGTATTACCCAAAATGAATCTGCTTCACACCAGCTTTGATGCCAGCTCTTGTCTATTTTAAATAACTTAATACTTATATAAAAAAATACCCTTTATTGTGGATTCTATTCTTTATTAGGTTATACTGATGTAAATACTACCCTGGAAAAATAAACAGAAGGCTTTGCACATGAAGAGATGAGGAGGAAGTTTGCAGGTATCTTGGTGAATTCAAGTGTGGGTTGTTTTATTTTCTTAATTACTGAGAACACTTGCAAGACAATAGCATCTTCTGTATGTGAATTAACATAGTTCAGGTGCCCCATTTAACCTGGGATAGAAAATAATTTGACAAGGTAGTAAAATTGGAAGTAGTTATGATGCATATTTGAGTGTGACTTCCAGATCTGTTCTGAAGATTTTATTATCCTATATTCGTATAGTTAATACCACTTTTTGGAGTACCCAGTGAGTCTTCTCACAGCATTAGATATTAAGCAAAGATATTAAGCAAAGATCTGAGTCTTTGTGGGAGTGAGTTTTCTGACTTGTCATAGATTTGTACCTTTATAGGATCTCACTGATTTAGTTTATTATGTCCAATCTTTATTTCAGATGTATCACAATCTATACAGAATGCCAAGTATACTGAAATCTGTGAATGTAACATAGTGGAAAAGAATAAATATTAGAGCAAAAGGATGCTTTGATTTTTATTTTGTGTATGCATCTTTGAGTGTTTTTAAAGACTGTTTTTTTTAAAGGTGTTTCCTGAAGGAGTATTTCTGTTTCTGGCAGAAACACTAGTTTCCTGGGATTTTTTTTTTGTTTTAGCTGAAGGAATTGAATAGGAATATGGTGTTTGCTTTAGTGAAAATCAGTGAATATATTGGCTGAATCGGTTGGTACAAAGAAGAGTGTATAGCTAGACTGTCATCTCTGCTTTTGCTGCTTTATGCTACTCAGGTAGTCATTAATCCTTACTCTTTCAGACTTTCCAGTTACTTACTTGTAGTAATCAGTCCAACATAATTGAAAGGGTGGGAAGCTATCATGCATGGGCTGTAAATTATTCCTCTTTGTACTTATCACCTTAAGGCACAGATTTCAATTCATTGAAAAAGCAAAGCTGCTTTAAAAAACAGTGTTCAGATTAACCATTTTGCTTGGAAGCTTCAGCAAGATAGAGAGACATTTCTGCCCAGACAGAAATTTTGCTTTGTCTGTCTGCATGTTTTTTGATGACAGGGTCATCATAATTTTAGTGAGTATGAGCAGGTGAAATTCCTTGTTAATGTACCTGGTTTATCACAAACTGCAGAGTAAGTTCAGTTACTTTTTCAAATTTGATTTTTTTTGAGTCTGTTGAACTCATGGGGTAGGTGTACTGCAGAAGGGTAAAGCATGGTTTTACCAGTGTTGGCTCTTAGACTCTTCATTCATTTGGTATTCCTAAATTCCTGCTTTCTTCAAGATATACGTATACATACACACACACACAGACACACACAGACACACATATGTATACATACATATATATGTGTGTGTGTGTATATATATATGTACACACACACACATACGCGCCCTTTAGTAATGGGGAATTTCACAACTGAAAACCCTAGCTGGACAAACAAAAAGAAACAAATATCAGTCTGAGAATGAGAGGAATTAGGTTAAATGTGTTGCATGGACACTGTAAAATTATCTAAAATCTAGGAATACACTGTACTCATTAACACTCAGAAAAGTACCTGTTAGGATTTCATGGAGTTCTTGAAAGTATTTGTAGAAGACTTCAGCAAATCCAAGAATGTTTTGATGCATGTTCACGAACAGCTAGTAGATACTCCTAGCTAGGAAGATAACTTCTACTGAGCACCTTGAAAATTATAATTAGAGAAAAAACTCTAATTAGAGAAACTGCCTTGGCATAAAAGATTCACCAGGATGACCTACTTAAAAGGATCATCATGTACCTAAAGTAAGGCTACAGTTTGAAGTCATAAATATTGCATCAGGACTCTTTTAAGGCTGCATTTCTCTTCCAGTAAATGCTTCAGTTCCCATTAATAGTTGAATAGTGCCATCACGTTTGATTTCTCCAAGAAACAGTCAAAGTGTATGAAATTAATCCAGAAGAAGATAGTAAAAATAAAGACTTTTTTTACTATAGGTGAATTTCTATTATTAAAAAGCTAGGGAAATATCTTTTAGCTTCTAAAGTCATGTCAATGTGATTGTAGGCTTCATTTTCTTGTATCAGAAGTACATCACATCCTTAGTTTATTTAATGCAGTCTGTAGTTTTTCCCATCCCTCAAAACACTATCAGCCCTAAAACTCATGTCTGGAGTATACTTCTGGAGACAGTATATGCAATAGAATGAATAAAGGACAACTTCTTAAAACCATTCCTTGGTCTTCTCCCATGCAGCTCTGAGGGCAGTTCACACTGCTTTAGAAAGGGTAATAAGATTAGCTTCAGAAATTTCCATCTATTTTTACTCCTGCATCATATCTCACTGCCTCCTTAGTTGCATTACTGCAGTTTTTCTGAGGTAATGCTGGAAAATAGATAATTAAAATGATCATGGTTAAAAATAACCTTTTCCCGAAGCTGGAAGCAGGCCGTGTTTTCTTAGAAGCACTGCTAAAAAACTGTAGCTTGCTTTCTCCCAGGGGGGAGGCTTCTACAATCTGTTGCAGTGTCCAGATTCACTCATGTGCACACACACATGCACACACACACACATGCACGCACACACACACACACACTTAGACACGTGAGTAATGACGCAATTTTGTAATTGATTTTTGCTGTGCTAACTACAGACTGTTGCAAAAAAATGATCCTGCATTTCTTCCTTCTGTATGCTTGCATGCTGCTGTCATTTCTTTCTCCCGCCCCTAGTGATAGTGCAGATGTGTGTTGAGCAAACTATCTTGTAGATATGCCTGAAAACCGCACAGAGGAGAAGGGAATGGTTAGTCTTCACTCTAATAAGCAAACTGCTCTTGACTCATTGTGTTTGCATTTGGGGCTGCATGAGATTGAAAGATACAGCAGGGGAGCAGGGAGGAGAACTGGGGGAAATGTCTTGGTGCTTTAATGCAGCTTGGTTATTGGGAGCTCATGCTGGACTAACCCAGGGAGATGCATTAGCTGATAATACACAGTTGCTCCACTCTGACCCTACTGTGAGTATAGATAGCGAAGAAAGGAATGTGTCTGTCCATGACTGAGGTATTGGGAATCTCCAAAGTGCTAAAGTGCCACCACTTCTGCCCACACAGCTCCCCACACAGAATTTTTTAGGGTGGGATTTCATGTTGCTAAGACTCGGTGTGAATGCTCTGTGAATGCACTGGCCAAATTCAGTCAGCTTTGAGACACTGGTTCAGATTGGAGGAATACTAGCTTTCTACAGGATTTGTGTTAAATAGAAGGCTAGAGAGATATTTTATGGTACCTCACTGAGAGAAAGATTAGTGTTTGTAGCCCTTTCCTACGAAACAGGGAGTTCAAATGAGAAAGGATATTGCAGACAGAGTCAATCTGATGTATGATGCATGGAATTCCTTGATTTCTTTCAGAATAAAACCTGCTATCCAAGACTAGACAGTAAAAAATTGAATTCTGACGATTCTCTGATAGTGATATTAAATTTATCTTTTGCATATTTTCCTTGTAACCTGCGGTATTTGTATCTCTGAAGAAAATGCAGGCTTTTGTATTCGAAGCCCTCTATTCTGACGTCCAGTGCTTCAATAAAGATTGGGATGATTCTGTATCAGTGTGAAGAGGCATCTAAAAATAGCAAAGTATAAACTTTTTTCTCTTATATTTTACAGGTTGAATATTACAGCTTCACTTGTACCTGGACTTTTTCCACTGATGTCCAACACCCAGTAGACATTCCAAACAATATTTGGCAGGTACTTTTGCAGCCTAACAGCAGTCCTTCTTTGACACAGGATGGAGGACACCTACAAAGACAGGACTTCACTAGTGAAAGGGGCCAAAGATATTGCTAAAGAGGTGAAGAGGCAAGCAGTGAAAAAAGTTAATAAAGCAGTTGACAAAGCCCAGGATGGCTATACACAGAGGTCCTACAGTCGATTCCAGGATGAGGAAGATGATGATGATTACTATGGCCAAGGAGGAAGTTACGGTGTAGAAGCTAATGATGACGAAGGATCAAGTGAAGCAACTGAAGGACATGATGAAGATGATGAAATTTATGAAGGAGAGTATCAGGGAATTCCCAACATGGGGCAGGGTAAGGATGACATGGCAGCCTTAAGTCAGTCTATGCGTGATGAATACAAGGATCGTCATGAACTGGAAACAGAGAGGAAAGCTGATGAAGAAGAGCTGGCACAGCAGTATGAATTGATAATACAAGAATGTGGCCATGGTCGTTTCCAGTGGGCCCTCTTCTTTGTGCTAGGAATGGCCCTAATGGCTGATGGGGTTGAAGTGTTTGTGGTTGGATTTGTGTTGCCCAGTGCTGAAACAGATATGTGTATACCCAATTCTGGATCAGGATGGCTTGGTAAGTAAAGTCTTCATTCTATCTTTTTGCTATTAAAAGATTTGCTTACAGTAAGACTAAATATGTATTTGTCATCAGAGAAGCTTTTATAAAAAGCGATTTGTCTTGAATATAAATACAATTATTTAAATTAAAATTAATTGTATGTATTAAGAATTTAATTAATATTGTAGTTTTATTTTTAGATTATTGTTTTCTTAGTCAGTCAGTAAATAAATCGCTAAAGAGAAAGACCACACTGTGAAACTTAATAAGGAGAGAGACAAATTTTGTTCTTGTATACAAGAGTAGATGTCCAAATGAGCTAATCTAAAAAAAGTAAAACCACAAAACCAGCCCACAGATGGAGAATTGGAGTCCTGTTGAAATTATAAAGGTGTAATAAAGAGCAGATGATACAACTGTATGGCAACATTTTCACACATTAACCTTTGAAATGGTAAGGTGAAATTAAATCTAGAAAGTGAAAAAAATTCCAGTGAAAAGGCTATCTATTGCACCTTTCACTCTTTTTGTTTTTAGTCCTTTTGTGCCAGTGACTGTTCTCCAGCCATCCAAAGAGAATACTGTTTACTTGGGGTCAGAAGAATGAACAAGAGCCTGAGGTGTGCTTTTTGTGTCCATTCTGCGGATGGGGATAGGCTGTGTCCCATCCCCTTGCCTGTTCCCTCCTGTGGTGTGGTAAACAGGCAGTCTGAGCCAGCTTTGTGTGGCTTGGTAAAGCAGCAGTGCTGCAATCAGGTCCATGCTGTCTTCCCTGGACATGCCTGGGCACAGAAAGTAAAACAAGGCTCTCATGGGGCAGGGCTGGAGAAGAGTGGTAGAAATGGTACCTCAAGGAAGAGGGGAGATGGGCAATTGGGACAGAGCAGGCAATGAAATGTATGTGTGTAAATTACCTGCTTGGGCCTGAAGACTGGAGAAAAGGAGGATTTACAAGACATTTAAAAGCCTTTGCTTTGTAGCAGATATTCTGCTTGCACCCTCCATCTTTGCAGCAGATGTTTATGTTGCAACAGATCTCATTTTAGCTTTGCTCAGTTTCCTGACACACTGATACCAGCACTGAGGGTCTGTGGGTTTCAATACTGTGGACTGCAGTCTCCCACAGTTATATCTCTAAGCCTCCCTCCAGGTGACAGGAACATAAGTGGAAACAGATGAGGAGTTCTCAGATAACTGTGTCCTTTGCATTATTCTTTGCTGTTTGATCATTTGTTATTAGAACTACCTTGCCTGTAGTGCAGTGATTAAACTTAAAATGGAGGGAAATAAATTATTACAGTTTTAATGGTTAAAGAGGTTATATGTTGAATACACATAATTTGTTTTTTATTGCTTGTTTACATTAAATGTCAACATAGTATGTGTCATGGTTGGACTTGCGAGCTTTCAAGTCTACTTCTTAAAGGATGAGAAACAAAGACAATGCAAACCTCTATCACTAGATAAATGTCAATGAGTCAGTGCTGATACTAACATACAATGCATCTTAGAAAATGAATGCCCAATTTGCTTTTTTAACATGATTTTTTCATCTAGTCCTTGGCAGCTGAGTTTAAAATCTACTTTAATGTCTTTAGAATCTACACCTCAATTTTTATAATTTTTGTAATTTTTATAATTTTTATATTGCTAGAACAAAAGTTATTTTTCTCACCCCCATTTTTAATTACTGATAAACCTGCCTGTTTTACCACATGCACCCTGCTCAACAAATGAAAGAGTCAAAATTGTCTTTGTTCTCCAGGGTGGTAAAATGTGAGGGTAACCCCCAATCTCCAATTAATTAATATTACATTGTATTTTCTACAAATAGTATTCTTTCTAAACAACTACTTTAAATATTATGGAGGTGTTTGGAATTGGGAGTGGGGAGTATTGTCTCCAGAGTAACAGGGGCCATGATTATTCACATCCACCTGTTGGGGTCTGACCCATGTCAAGAAGGATGAAGATTTCCCTGTCACTAGAATTCTTATGATGCTATCTTGAGATGTACTGGAATCAGTCTGTAAGTATTTAACTAAATTCAGTACAGAAGCTGATAAACACATTATAGTTACAAGTATTTGTGTATGTGTGTATATGTGTGTGTGTGTGTGTGTGTATAAATGAAGCTTATTGACAAAATTAAGGTAACAGCTCTGGAAAACTCAGCTGTGCAAGCAATGTATTCTCATGCCTAAAATATAGAAATCATAATATATCTTCCTATTACAATAATATAAAACTAGCCTCTCTGTTGTGGTACTAACAAATAATTGTGTACTAAAAGATTAACATACAAAAGCAGGAAAGAACAGCGATAAGCAATTTCTTTCCCAGTGTGTATTGAGGGCATTGCAACACGTGATTGCTTTAGCAATAATTTCACCAAAAATATATTTCTTGCCCATTGTTACTAAAAATGTATCATAAGCTGCAAGTCATCAGCACACTAATGTGCATATGGCTTATAAACAGAGTAGATATACTGCTTGCAGACAGCATAACCTTAATTCCACCGATACAAAATATTTGTTGTGCCAGTGAATGCTCAGTGAAAGCTTTTTTATGTTCACAACTGAGGTCTCAACTGAGCCCTCACAACCATGCATTTCAATTATTTTGCACTTGTGATTTCACCTTATAATTACATCCTAACTGAGGTCTTCCAGACAGGCATAATTCTTTTTCTCATGATTAGAATTCCGTAATTCAGAGGATTCTGATATTGCTAGAATATTAAAGTCACAGGACTAATGTTAAGAGTTACAAGGTAAAATCAGTACACTTATACGGTATTTATTTTTCAGGCAATTTTCTAGACTGTCAAAAGGCACGCTAAGAGCATCTTAATTTCTCTTTGAAAAAGCATTCATTGATTTAGTTGTAAAAACTAATTTCTCATATATCATGCCATGACAGTTTACTAGGAAACTTGATCTAATTAAAAACATGTGACAATATTTATTGACCCTCCCTGTTCCATCTTTTATTTTTCCAAAATTCACTTTCGCAAGGACAGTTTCCCAAAATCCATCCATATTGACCCTTTCATGCGCTTGAAATCACTGTTTATTGATCACCAGCTATGTCTCAGAAAGTCACATAACAAATGTACTGGTGCCATGAACTAGCCTCAAGTTGTCTTTTGAATTCAATAATAAACCAATACTTTTTCATCTTGAGTAAGTGGTTTTCTTAAGAAGAGGGCGGTTGACTAGCTTAAATTATTCAACATTATAGTGACACGTCACAAAGCATGAGAGAAAGGTGTCCTTGATGTATATATAACTTGGCTGTACTTGCTAACTCCTCCATTTAAGTGGATTCACACTGGCCTCTTGGGTTCTGGCACCACTGGGACAAGACTGTACCTTCGTGAGACAGGTTGTGGGCTCAGGCCTAAAGATGTTGTTTTAACAGTTTTCCTGCTTGCATCTTACCTCTTTAATTTCATCAGTGAGAAACAGACTGATCTTAGGTTAATTCTCTGGGCTCTGATTTGGGTATACTTTTCTATCTAGTTTTTCTCTGTCTTTGCATTCAGATTGCTCTTAAGTTTTATTGTGGGGTTTTTTTTATTTTTGTTTTGTTTTGTTTCGATTTTTTAGGGGGATTTTGTTGGTGGTGGTGGTTTTTGTTGTTGTTATCATTGTTGTTGCTGCTGGTTTTGCTTTGTTTTAATGTAAAATTCTTATTATAGTTTTTTCTTTCCTCAGCATCTCTGCACCTGAGATACTGAAATAATGTTTTTCCTAAGCTAGGCAAAGCTAGTCTTTCCCAGGAGTGTCTGTTCAGGCTGCCTGAATGCTCCTTCTGACTGTGCTGTCGCTGGTTCTCCCATGGGACCTGTAGGGGCTCACCCTCGTGTGTAGGACCCCTGACAGCTGCACTGCTGTCACCCTTGGCTGCAGCACATACAGGCTGACTCCTGCTCAGCTGGTCTTGAGGCCACTCCTCACAGCATCAGTTGGCACCTTTTTCAGATGGACATCTCTGTTCCTTTTTTGTACTTTTCATGGAATCATAGAATAGTTTGAGTCAGAAGGGACCTTTAAAATGTCATGCAATCCAAACACCCTGCAATATGCAGGAACAGCTTTAACTCAGTCAGGTTGCTCAGAGGCCCTTCTATCTCAATAGCAGAAAAAAATCTCAACATCTCAGGATTTAGTGATTATTTTAGAATATTTTATTTTTATTTTTTGCATGTGTACCATTAGGACATCTTTTACAGAGGCCAATTGCTTCTCACTGATTTCCAATAGTCTTCCTGGTCTCTTTTGAATTCCTATATGATCCTCTATAAGAAGTTTAGACTGAATGATCTCTGGAGGCTGAATAGTCTTCGACTCTGTCCTGTCTTACCATTGTGTTAACCTATGTGTTAGTCAAGACTTTGATACAGATTCAGAGACAGTACTGTAACAAATTTAGAAATAATTTTTATATGTAAAAGACATTCTTAGCTGATGAGCCAGCCTGCAGACTTTTTCTTCCTTCTAAAAGAACACAAGTATTGTGGTAAATCACTGGACTGATAATGCAGATACTGTGAATATGAACAGCAACAAACAGCTTACCGTGGAAATAAAATTATTTTCTGAAACCCCACATTTAGTATCACATAATGCCTTGACCTAAGGGATTTTTTTTGTTATTTTCTGAATTTAATTATCAATTTTTTTGTAGTATTTGTAGAAAGAAGAATATAATTGACATGACTAATTATTTTGGGCAAAAGCAGCTCTCAGCCTGGGACAACAGCCTACCAATTCTGCATTGATTACTAACTTGCATATTAGCTGCTTTAGTAACAGTGCTTCCCATGGCTACTCTGTCTTGAAACCTAACAAACATAACCAGCATAACTTTAATCCACACAGTTCTTTCTCTTTACATGAGAAGAAGTGCTCTCCAGAGGCTTGGTAGCTGATGTAATGTGCTTATAAGCTCTGCTAGAATACCAAATGATCTCTGAATTTTTCCACTGCTTAGTTTAAAGAAGTACT